TGTAGAAGAGAACTTTTTTGATATCAAAAATTTTCGTAATTTGAAGCAAAGATCGTAATTTTTCTTTTTGAATGCTTAAGTATTCCAATATGCTACCATGCTAAAACATGGAACAATTTCAAAATAATGCTTAATAACAAAGATAAAATTCGATTTTCAACTGTTAATATCTTTTTGAAATTTTCGAAAAAAAAATTTTCAATATTTTTCTCGTACTCCCCAAGTAAGCCTCTATCACCCCTTAAAAGGAATGACGCCAATTTTGAATCACCCTGTACAATTACCGAAATTTTCAGGCAACATCACTTGCATTATGTTCTCGAAATTCCAATACAATTCCAAATTCTTTTAAATCTGCCCTGGTACATTGACAGTGTGCGACAAGAACAGGTTGATTTTCATTGTGACTACTCTGTTACTCTCTCTCTCGTCACTGAAGCTGGACGACGTAAGTTTGACTACCAGGGGTAGTGGATACTCCTCCCAGGCACTTTCGACTGTTTTTCTAGATTTTTGTTGGGATTTCAATCGTTGCTTTAAAAATGTCCAGTCTCAAAGGGCTTTTTCCCGATTCTTTTCATCCTCTAGCTGATATCGATCTCACCTCGATTCCAATAACCAGTAGCAGTTTCGACTCTATTCCTCCCTTTATCATTGGGGCCATTTACCAAAAATCCGGCTGCCATTTAATATGCGCATACGAAACAACAATAGCCATAAAGATACATCGGCCTGATACGCTATGAATTATTAATGATTAAAATTCAAATTTTGCCGTTTTAATTAATCTGATACGGTCCGGTCCGCACCCCGCTATTACTGGCCATATTTCAACGTTCGCCTATCTCCCAAGTGTTCGGATTTGAATTGTTTATGTCGGCTGGATGTTAACTGGAATTTGCAACCAATTTTTCCACCCTTAATGGATCGCGATTGTCATTGCGGTGCACAAGCCCGTACATGTATCGAGCACATAACGACATCTTGTCCTTTGAATTGCGATTATTTTCCGCCAGTTGCCGCTTAAAAGAATATCCTCTACGAATGTTTAATAGGCATGTTTAATGTGGAAATTGCCCATAGGCAGATTCCAATTAAACTGCCTCTTTGTTCCGAGTTCAAAAGGAACAATTTGAATGCTAAGGGCAAGGCTCTGATGAAATAGTTAATAAAAGAAACGCTATCGCTCACTTTGGGAAACATCTTTAATAAAACTGAAGACTTGATAAAATAACAGATTAATCCAAACATACACCATAGAGGCTTAAAACCGTGTAACTGCAAAAAAGTTGGATTTAAGCAGAACAGAGGACGAGGAAGTTGCAAACTTACGCGTAACGTTCCGGCTCTCGGTAATCCTTGGGTAGCCTCCTTTGCTTGACTTGGAATAGTAGGGTTCTTCGAACCCCAGATAAGACCATGGCAGTTGCCCTTTGATAAACTGCAAAAGTGTAAAAGTGAAATTTGATTAAACAGCAGTTGAGCAACGATTAGTGGTACTTGCATTAGGGGCGCCATTCTTCGGATTAGAAGCTGCCATCGGCGACAACCCGATTCCGCTTGCCACATCGCTAAACCTTCGGAACCCACACTCCAAAGATATGTATGGTGCAAATCTGAGCTTTTCAGGCGTTATTGCTGAAACAATGCGATAAACTCGCTTTGGGTGAATTCGCTCCGTTCGTCCGCTGAGAACCGATGCGTGCTTACCGCAAAAAAGCATGCATTTGTTCGGACCGAAGGAACGGAAGAACGGAGAAAAAGAACTATTAAAATTTAATTATTAACACTACAATACCATCTTGTAGATCTAGAAAAGGTGTTTGAGGAAAGGATTTTTTGTTTTTGACATGATTTGAAATAACATCAAAAATGAATAAAAACGAAAATCCGAAAAATCACTTTTTTTCAAATATCTCCAAAAATAAAAGGAAAACGTATTTTTCGAAAACGTCATGTATACAGGGT